CTCACCTGGAGATTGGCAGCAATTGTTACCCAGGACAAAATGGCTGGTTTGGAGGGTGGAGTTGGCAACCCCATCTCCTTCCCAGCTAGCCATCAACCTACCATTATCTGCCCCTTTGACTTCAGCTGACTTCCGCCCTCCCTTCTGCAGAGCAATTGTAATTTTGAGTGGTCTCCAGCCCTCACCTGGAGATTGGCAACAATGGTTCCCTATGTGGGACTGACTGGTTTGGAGGGTGGAGTCTATGGCATTGTACCTGTCTGAGGTCCCACCCCTCCTCAAACCTCACCCTCTTCAGGCTCCATCCCTCAAATCTCCAGGAATTTCCCATCTGGAGTTGGCAACCCTATCAGGACTGGCCCCAATGTGTTTTCTCCCAAAGGCCAAAGTAGGTGACAGGACCAAGCTTAGTTGCCTACCAACAGGCACTGAGGGGAATGTTGGGTTGCCAGTTCTAAGGAGGGAAATACCTGGAGATTTTAAATGGTTTGGAAAGAAACTCAAAAAAAAATTAGTTATGTACTGTATTTTTGTTTTTGCTTTTGTAACATAAAAACCTGCAAATAAATTCAATAATTTAAAAAAGTATGGGGATGCCAGCCTCCAGGTGGGACCTGGGGATCCCCTAGAATCTTAGCTCATCTCCACACTACAGGGATCACTTTCCCTGGAGAACATGGCTGCTTTGGAAGGCGGTGGACTCTCTACAGCAGTGATGGCGAACCTTTTAGAGACCGAGTGCCCAAACTGCGACCCAAAACCCACTTATTGATCGCAAAGTGCCAACACGGCAATTTAACCTGAATACGGAGGTTTTACTTTAGAAAAAACAACTCATACATTAACTTAAGATGATCCAAACAAAGTAAGGAAAGCAATCCCAAATGCTTTCATTTACTTAAAATCAGAAGTCATTTCGGGGGGGGATTGCAGTTCCCCCGGGTGAGGTACGGGGGGGCGGGGCACATAATGAAGCCCCGCCCCCTGCTTCCGGCCGCCCCGCTTCTGGCCCTCATTCAGCCAGGAGGAGGCAGGAGAAGAGGGAGGGTAAGTTGCTTCCTCCCTGCCTCTCCCCACCCCTGCCTGCCTGGGGCCAGGGAGGGCCTTCGCGGGGCTTCCTCGCACTCCCACCGGCCTTGCAGGTCCACCACCGGGACCGTTGGGGGCGGGGTGTGTGGCCTTATGACACACTTCCGGTGATGTCAGGGGGTGTGGCATCTGCTAATGAGTTATGCTAATGAGTTCCCCTAGCTCTTTTTCTATGAAACGACCTCTGCTTAAAATTATTTGGCAGAGAATTTGACACTTTAGTGATGGTCTGGGCCTGGCTGGGGCGATGGCAGGCGTGCCCACAGAGAGGGCTCTGAGTGCCACCTCTGGCACCCGTGCCATAGGTTCACCACCACTGACCTAGAGCCTTCCAAGTGGAAAATCCCAACGAGGTCCCTGGCCTCCCCAGGCTCCATCCCCGAATCTCCAGGAGTTTCCCAACCTGGATCTGGCTACAATACAGCGCTGGGTTGGTACCGCTGGACCGGACAGGTTAACATCTACCGGACACTACCTACCTCCATGAATAACCACCTACCTCTAATGAATGACCCATCTTGTCTAAATTTGAGCACTTTATTTGTATTCTTCGTTGGTTTTTACTGTTTTTATCCTGTTTTTATGTATGGGCATATCTTGCCCTCTTTTAAACCGCCCTGAGCCCGTTCGCAGGGCGGGCGGGGTATAAATACAAAAATGAATAAATAAAAATAAAAACCCTAGAGCAGGGGTGTCGGACTCATTTGTTATGGAGGGCCGGATCGGACATAAATTGGGATTTGTCGGGCCGGGCCGCGTGTGTCACAAAATGTAATGCCAGGTAGCGAAGATATGAACTTGATAAAGGACACAAACACAAAGGGTGGAGTTTTTTTTAACTTAAAATAAAAACATGCCCGAAACATGAGCACTCTTGCAATATTTTGCTTATTTGACAGTCTCTGGTAACTGACACTTCTTGCTCTGAATGACTTCCTCAAAATGTCTGTGCTGTAGCGACCTGGGAGGGGGAGGAGCCTCAGCCCAGTGCAGGGAGCAGAAGCTTGCCTATCTATCTCTCCTGAGCGATTGAGGGAGTCTGGGAAAGCAAGCTATGAGGCAGCAGCTGCAGCAGAACTGGAAGAAGACGCAGGAGGCAGCCAGTCCCTTGCAGGCCTGATAGAAGCCCTCCGGGGGCCTGATCTGGCCCCCGGGCCGCATGTTTGACGCCCCTGCCCTAGAAGAAGGGTATTTGACAAAGATGGCTTTGATTCTCACAAGGCACTCTATGGAACTCAAATCAGGAAAAAAAATCAGTCCCCAGAGACTTTAGATCAGGGGTGTCGAACTCATTTGTTGTGAGGGCCGGATCTGACATAAATTAGACCTTCTTGGGCCAGGCCATGTGTGTCATAAAATGTAATGCCAGGTAGCGGAGATATAAACTTTATAAAGGACACAAACACAAAGGGTTTTTTTTTGCTTAAAATAAAAACATGCGCAAAACAACAGCACTCTTGCAAAATTTTGTTTATTTAACAGTGTCTGAGAACTGACACCTCTGGCTCTGAATTGTTGCATCAAAACGTGTGTGCTGTTGCAATCTTGAGTATGGCTGTTCAGGTGTGTACCTGTAAGCGGCAAACCTACAATGACACAGCAGCAGCAGAACTGGAAGAAGAAGCAGAAGACAGCCATCTCCACTGTGGGCCTGATAGAAGCCCTCCGGGGGCCTCATCTGGCCCCCGGGCCGCACGTTTGACACCCCTGCTTTAGATTATTTCCCATGAACCCAAGTTGTGCTGTTCAGGGCCTAAAAAGATTGGATGGTTGATTATTTACTTCACCGGGGCCCAAACTGGTTTGCATCGTCATCCTCTCCTCCGTTTCATCTTCACAACAGCCCTGTGAGGTAGGCGGGGCTGAGAATGTGTGGCTGGCCCAAGGTCACCCAGCAAGCATCTGTCGCAGTGTGGGGATTGGAACCTGGGGATTGGAACCCTAGTCCTGCTCTAACCACTACACCACACTGGCTCTCAATACTGGGCCTTTGCATGTGTGTGTGTGTTAATGGTACGTTGTGTGGGGTGACAAATTCTCTTCCACTGGCTCTGCTGTACTGAGCGCATCTCAAGGCAGCCAACCCCGATCTATCTATCTATCTGGAGCTGCAGTGGCTCAAGTGGTTAAGACGTTGAACTGCAGGCTGTGGAAGGTCAGTAGTTCAGCAGTTCGAGATCCGGGTGCCGCAAGACGGAGTGAGCTCCCATCTCTCGTTCCAGCTCCTGCCTGTCTTTGGACAGCGTTGGCTCTTCGGCTTTGAAACGGAGATGAGCACCGCAACCCTAGAGTCGGATTCGACTGGCTTTTGAGCAAGGGAACCTTTACCTTTACCTCTATCTATCTATCTATCTATCTATCTATCTATCTATCTATCTATCTATCTATCTATCATAATCAATCTGTCTGTCATCTATCTTCATTTTCATCATCATCTATCACCTATCTATCTCTATCATGTATCTATATCTATCATGTATCTATATCTATCATCTGTCTATCTCTCTCATCTATCATCTATCTATCACAGAATCATAGAGTTGGAAGGGACCTCCAGGGTCATCTAGTCCACTACCCCTGCACAATGCAGGAAATTCACAAATACCTTCCCCCCTCACACTCACAGTGACCCCTACTCCATGCTCAGAAGATGACAAAATAACTACAGGGAATTGCTTCCTGACCTCAAAGTGGCGATCGGCGTTTCCCTGGGCATCTCTCTCTCTCCCCTCCCCCCTCCAATTCATCCTCACCACAACCCCATGAGGGAGGTGAGGCTGAGAGCGTGTGACCAGCCCAGGGTCGCCCAGCAAGCTTCCCCCCCTCGCCCCATGCCCACGATGGCTATCAAGAGTCAGCGTGGTGTCATGTTTGAAGTGTCGGACTAGGACCTTGGAAACCCGGGCTCTAATCCCCCACTCTGTCATGGAAGCTCGCTGGGTGACCTGGGGCCAGTCACACACTCTCAGCCTAACCTACCTCACAGGGCTGTTGTGAGGATGAAACGGAGGAGAGGAGAATGACAGAAGCCACTGGGGGAGAAAGGCGTGATATAAATGAAATGATTAAACAAAGTCAATCAAAGAAAGCTACAGAGATGTGGGGGCTGGGGGAGGTGACTGGCCCAGAAGAAGGAGAGGAGGTTTCCCTGTGGCTGGCGCCAGGTGTCCGGCCCTCCAGTCTCTTGGGCGTCTCTCCGAGGATGGCAAAAGAAAAGAGCCCAGGTTTGGTGTAGTGGTTAGGAGCTCGAACTCTAATCTGGGAGAACCGGGTTTGATTCCCCGCTCCTCCACATGCAGCTGCTGGTGCGACCTTGGGTCAGTCACGAGTTCTCTCAGAGTTGTTCTCTCAAGGGCAGTCCTCGAGAGAGCTCTCTCAGCCCCGCCTACATCACAGGGTGTCTGTCATGGGGAGGGGAAGGGAAAGGAGATTGTAAGCCGCTCTGAGACCCCTTTGGGTAGTGAAAGACAGGGTATAAATCCAACCTCTTCTCCTTCTTCGACATCAGACCAAGGGTCTATCTGTGCCAACAACGGCCAGGCAGAGCCTCGGCAAAGCTCTCCAGCAGTGTGGGGTAGTGGTTAAGAGCGGCAGACTCTAATCTGGGAGAACCGGGTTTGATTCCCCACTCCTCCACGTGCAGCTGCTGGTGCGACCTTGGGTCAGTCACGAGTTCTCTCAGAGCTGTTCTCTCAGGAGCAGTCCTTGAGAGAGCTCTCTCAGCCCCCCTACCTCACAGGGTGCCTGTTGTGGGGAGGAAAGGGGAAAAGAGTTTGTAAGCCGCTTCCCTTAAGGTAGAAAAAAGCAGGCTATAAAAACCTTATATTCTTTTCCAGCAGAGTATTAAGGTTCAGGTTAGTCTCAGTCGCTGCTGTCCCCCCCCAACCCTTGTAATACGGACCCTTTCTTACCTTTACTTGACATCTGTGGACTTGATCCCTTCATCGTCTGCGAACCCGTCACTGTCTGCAATCCCTTCGCCGCCTGCTGATATATAGACATCTCTGCAGTCTGGGCTTGTACGTTTGGCAGTAGGAAGATGCTCGTTGTCGTCCGCGCATACCTGAAGGGATCTTATATACTTACCGGTGTGGGAGGGAGCCAGAGAGAAGGTGTGGTTCCCAGTTTTAAAAAAACCCAACTCAGGCTCTGAAGGAAAGAGCTGACGCCAAAAATCCCGGAACGATGACCGTGGCCCTGCCTTCCGTCCACCCCCAGTGAGCAGAGGTTGGTGCTCACACGCCCTCCTGAGATAGAAAACTTGAGATAATAAGCCCTCCCTCCCTCTCTCTCCCTCTCTCTTTTTGAGAAGACAAAAACAAGATTTGGATTCTGGCTGGTCGAGTTTCTTCCTCCTCCTCCTCCTCCTTCTTAATTTTTAAAAAATTGAAAACGAATGTCATATTACAATAAATGCAAAGTGGTAAATAAGAAATACGAAGGTAGCAACACACTGTACTAATTTTTTGTAACCATACAAATATTGTTCAACATTCAAACTCATAACACCCATCTGCCAGTTTGGTGTAGTGGTCAAGTGCGCGGACTCTAACCTGGGAGAACCGGGTTTGATTCCCCACTCCTCCACTTGCACCTGCTGGATGACCTTGGGCAAGCCGTAGTTCTGATAAGAGCTGTTCTTGAAAAAGAGCAGTTTCTGTCAGAGCTCTCTCAGCCCCACCTACCTCACAGGGCATCTGTTGTGGGGAGGGGGAGGGAAAGGAGTTTGTCAGCCGCTCTGAGACTCCTTTCGGTAGTGAAGTTCGGGGCATAAATCCAATCTCCTCCTTTTGCACCTGCTGGATGACCTTGGGCAAGCCGTAGTTCTGATAAGAGCTGTTCTTGAAAAAGAGCAGTTTCTGTCAGAGCTCTCTCAGCCCCACCTACCTCACAGGGCATCTGTTGTGGGGAGGGGGAGGGAAAGGAGTTTGTCAGCCGCTCTGAGACTCCTTTCGGTAGTGAAGTTCGGGGCATAAATCCAATCTCCTCCTCCTCCTCCTCCTCCTCCTCCTCCTCCTC